CAGCGGCGGGCTGGGCTCCCCCGCCTTGCCCCAAGGCAAGGGAAGAAAGGTCTTACCAAGGAGAACCCCTTAGACACTCGGCCATTATGAGGAAGCAGAATGAAAGTACAACCTCCGTCTTTCCCCTTCTGTTGCGTTTAGGTCAGTTTCCCACTCTAGAACTGCGACCACTGTGGTCTGTAACACTTGGACTGACTCATGCTCAGGGAATAGATCTCTTGCGATGTTTATAATCTGAATAGTTTTATAAGTGTTCAAAAAGTCATTTGGTAATGACAGAGGCCCAAAAACCTACCACTAGCATACACTGTGTTGGCTTCTCAGGTAGACAGTTTTTCGCAGTATTGAAGCTGTCTTGCATAGAAACTTTAATTGCTTCACATCAGCACAAACCCTTCGAATAAATGGGCATTTGCTCACCTCAAGGTGCTGGAACCTTGCTCAGGGTCTGTAAATATTTTCTGTCATACTACTTTACTTTTGACTATATAGAAGGGATGACATAAGCTCTTAAACACATGCATTTTCTCCCTTTTTGCAGGGGATCTGCTCTTTCAAATAATGTAAGGACATTCCAGTTTTTTGAGCTTCCAGCAGCAAGTAGTTCTCCAACAAATCTGTTCATCAAACCCACTCACTCGGTTTATTTTTCCAAGGGAAAAAGGGACAAACAAATAAGGAAATGAAAAAAATGTTAAAATACTTAAATATTATTACATTTATAGTCAGAACAAATATATAAATCAACTGCATTGAATTTTCTATTAGCTTTTAAATATTCACCTCAATATACATTTGTTCTTTAGGACACACAAGAGATAAATAATTGAGTTAACATTGCTAGATAAATCAACTCTTTTTCCTGAGCTGCAAATATTCCAGATTATAACCTTGAAGTTGCTATCCAACAACTACAAATGGAAACTAAACAGATCAAAGTGAGCAAGCAGGAACCCACGCTTGAGTACCCAGAGGCCCAGTTTACTGAAACATATAGTAGCACCCCCATCATTTCAGATCAGTAAGTCAAGACTGAATGGCTCTTAAATGTAAAACCCAGCCTGGCCACAAGGTGCAGGAGAAGCTCGGTATTTTGGCTTGTGCTATGAACAACATGAGAGCACATGATTTAAAACAACCAACCCACCTACCCCTCACCCCCACCCTCCCAAAACCAAGCCCCACAACAATTTGATATATGTGTGGTTTTAAATATCTAAATAGATTGTGGTGACTCCTCCAGCCACAAATAGTGGGGTACCTAGTTCTATTTTGGCTTCAGGGTCTTTCCTTTTAGCACTGAGTACAAGAGTGGAGTTCATACTGCACAGTAGTACTTATTTCATAACAATGAACCAACCTCTCTTCTTTGGGAGATCAACTACAATAGTCCGAACTACTTGCATACAGCTCCCATTAGTGCCTGTGTGGGTGGGAGTGGACAGAAGGAATGAACAGCTTCAGTGCTTAAATCCTGTTGGAAAACCAGGTTTTTATGAGCTGCAGACTTTGACAGCACCAGGACAACAGGTAAAGTCAGACAGGTAGCAAAGAAAATTGTTTTATGGCTAGAAGCATCAACTGCTAGCCACTTGCATATATGTGAACATATGCTTTCCATGCTTCTTCCTTCCAGGCCAGGCAAACTCCTGATAAAAAGGATAGGTAAAAGTAGGGGTAACAAGAATCAGCTACACGGAGCTCTTCTGCGGTGTTGTGGAGAACTTTTATTTTACCAGAACAGCTGTTGGATTTCTGCCTTTGCGTGTTGTGTCGGTGACAGAATTGATCAGGTATGCTGCAGTATGGATCAGCACCATTTTTCTTGTTTTTTTAAAACCTAGCAGAATAGCAGAGTCTATTTACAAGCTTCTCTGTCAACTTCCCAAAGGAAACAGCAATGTGGGAACTAAGTTCACTCCCAGGATAGGCACTCTGTTCCAGCTATCAGAAAGTTGGAATTTGACTATCTCAGATATGAGTATATGTTTCAGTGCACAAGCACTTTGATCAAAAGCATAAACCCTTATCTGTAGTAAAAACTACCTTCTACAGCAGCCAGCTAGACATACACAAAATGCATCCAGTCAGATTATAAGACAAATTACTCTCGTGTGGGAGAGAGCAATGTACTATCCCAACTGCCCTTCAGGTTTACAAACTCTCCTCATTTACCTCTATCCACCTTTCTTTTAGATAGCTGCCACTGGCTTCTGGCACTGCATCAGGAGTGTTAGCAGTTTATTGTTGAGACCACAAGGAGCTAAAGTGTTTGCTCTAATGCTACAACCTTGACAGGGACATAGCTGCAACCACGCTGGGTTGCCTTGGTGGAAGTTTTTGACTCTGAACTTTGAGCTTCTCATCTGGAAGACCAAAGTTTGACAGTCTCCACTGCAACGAAGAATGGTCCGGGCCTGTTCTGTTCTCTCTTGCCCACTACTTGCAAATTTTACATGCATCAAGTCAAGCTGCAGCAGGATTGCTAATAATTTTGTTTTTTTCTATTTTGCTCAGTGAATTAACGGAGTTTCATTAAGCCTGGTTAAGTAATCTGCTGAATTGGAGGGAATACCCCCTTCTCCAAGTGTAACACTAGAAATGTATGATGCAGCTGGAGGCCTCTGAAACTACTTCCAGATATTCAGAACCTACAGAGAAGTTCTTCAGATAGCCACTGTACTGCGCATGTTCTGAATGTACACAGTCCAGAGCGTGCACCTTCCCATAGCACAACATATGTAGTCTCTAAGGGCAGAGCATAAAAGCCAGTGGAAAACAATTGAGGCTCACCTTCCAGCCACTCCAGCAATTTCTGAAGTCATTATAAATTCACTTGGCAGAGGAGTGTCATGAACACTTCATGCATGCAGAGAGATGTATTTTAAATAAGCACTCAAAAGATCAGAAAAAGGCAAGTTTCCCTGTAGGGCTGATATTTCAGGAGTGCCTGGTACCATGCCACCTGCTGCTATTAGAGCGAGCCACTGACATCAGCATGCTCTCCTGGAAAAGACAAGACCCTTTAAAGAACAAGTTGCTACACATTTAAAGTAGCAGAAAGCACACATCATGGGGTAAGGGTACTCCAAGAAGGAGACTACAGTGAAACAAAGAAAGATGGATGGAAATCAGTGCTTTGGTCCCCATCCAAAGGACAAGGACAGTGACTGGCCACAACAACCCCTTTTCTAACAAGTGCATGCACAGCAGCTGTGGTGCAGACAAGGGTGCACAGCTTGAATTTTCCTTGCATACAAAAAAAGGGTACACCTTCATTCAAACCCACAAGAGCTTTTCAGTCTCTGTAAAAGATGCTACTTTAAATACAAGTAGTCATTTTTAAAGAAAGGTAGTCACCGTGGCCTGTGAAGAGACCTCATGTGCATAGAACAAATTACAGAAAGGACTCAAACATTGTTGAGTGGCAGGACAGTAGTATTCAATCAGGACATCTTCTAGAACTACAACTGGCCTAGGACTTGTAGTCAGTATCTTGATACATTTTCCAGAAGAACTTGAGGATAAACAAAGTGCAACACTGCCCAGAAAGGGCATTCAGCTCTCACCAGAAAGTAGTGACAAGTATCCTGCTTACCTTGGATGGTTGAATTCAGGAAAGACTTGAACTTAAGATGATTACAATGCTTGAACAACTGGTTACCTGGCCCTCCTGATCTTTGCACAGCACTGGCAACTATTTTGGGCAACTGCATAGCTCTCTCCATCCAGAAGCATCAGCAAACGAAAAATAACGCTTGCTCAAGGACAAAAGTAACAGAGAGCATGTGTTCCAAGATACACTCTCTTAGGTACAGTTCTAGAAACAGCCATGTTTAAAATGACATTCATAAAACTTCATTTTTTGTTTTGTTTTGCTTTTTAATGGCTAAGTGACCTGCCTCCCTTCATACTGGGGGCAGCACATAAAAGGACAGCAACAAGCACTTCGGGAACTTGCTCATACGTGCAGGCCAGGAACAGTGTTTCCAGAAATAATAGAGCTGAAAAATGTGAAATGAGACCCTGAGATGCAGGTGAACATGGGAAAACACCCCAAAATCCAGAACACATCTGGAAGTGAAAACTGAGGAATGAAGATTGAAGGGATTACAGACTAGAGCTCAGCAGGACCTGGGCTGCTCTTGCTATTAATATAACCAGCTCGTTTAAATACATGGAACAGCACAGAACACAATCCTGCAGCAGCTGGAACTGTAGAACACCCCTTAAAAACCAAGCTAGAGTTTAGCAGAGTGGTGGCAGCCGTGAACTGTTCAAGGACCATAAACTTTAAGAGAAATCAAGTACACAGCAAAATGCATCCTCCAATAGAGACAGGAGAGAATCTGTCCTGGTAAGAACCCTAATGCAAGAAACCCGTTTTAACAATCTTTCCTCAATCTGTCAGTAACAGTCAAGATCATTTACAGTGCAAAAGGGAATGAGTTATTGCACAATCTAAACAAAATGCAAGAAGTTGCTTGCTGCAGACACTGCTTGCTCAGCACACCTTCCTAAAGCCAGGCAGTGAACTTAAGGAAGAGGTACCATAAGAAAACATGCTAATAGTATTCTCTTTAATTTGCATGTGCACTTTTTTTCCTTTTAAACAACTGCTCTGAGTCCTTGTTTGCTGGGCAGAGATAACATGTCACTCTACTCTGTAGTTTCAGTTTCCAAGTTCGCTGTATGGCACACGTGTCCATGAAGGTGCTGGACTTGGTTTTATGCTCATAGAAGCTACTCAGAATCAGCCGTTCAGTGTTTAAACAACTTGCAGGGACTACTGAAGTCTCTGAGCCTCTCCCTCGCCAAAAAGCAAAGGAAAACATACATGGTGCAAGTCAGGGGAAGAAGGTGAAGAAAAGCACTTAAAAGGTGCACAAGAGTTAAAATTTCATTTTCTTTCTGCCTTCCTCCCCTCTATAGAGTAGCAAAGAGGAGACAGAGGAAGAGAAACAGCAGGATTCAATGGAAGGCAGAAGGTTCCTGATGGGCTCACCGATGGCTCAGTGCTGCTGTATGGGTGATGACTCGTTGCTTCACTGCTGCTTGGTTTTAAGGGATAATCTCTGTATCATCTTGTAAAGGAGACCAAAGTGCTGGAAACAGAAGGAGAATAAGTAACCATGAGTCCTTATAAATTCTAAATAAAATGACTGTGTTCTACACGAGAGAAAACTTACTAGAAGGCTTAAAACAATACTAATGTGCAAATGCAATACCTTGTTTGGATCATTCACTAGCACTCTCATCCGGAAGACAGAGTGGGACTTGGTGAATTAGTAGGAATTATTACAATGAAGGCAGTTACTTGAAGTTGTACAGAAAGTGATGGCTTACAGAAGTGTTTGTGCAGGCCTGTATCACTCCCATTGTGAAGATGCAAACACTTGTTAAAGATTTTACATTTTTTGATGCAATTCTGTTCCTTCTGAAGGGGAGGAGAAAGCTTCAGATTTGAACACATGCCTGATACTGGTCACTACAGAAACACTGTTGCTAGCAGTTTCAAGAATGTAAAAATGAACCAGGCACACACAGAGATTCCCAGTAGTTCACAATCATTTAAGTGGATCTTCTCTTTCACCATTTCACCAGTGACTTAGAAATTCACTTAATTCCTCTTTTGATTAATTGCATTTTGATTTGATAACTACTTCAGATATTTGACAGATATAACAAGATCCAGGCTTCAAATGATTTGTAATAACAAATGTAATGAAGATTGCTGACAGAAATCAAAGTATATGTTTTCCCTCCTGTTTATGTTGTTACATCAGATTTTTAAATGCTTGTTGTTTCCCCAAACAAATAATAAGCACAAATAACATGAATACATCAACATTTAGATTGACCTAAAATGCTTCCCTTTCATTCATGTTCTTCAGATAACCCAGTCAGGATCAGAAGCCTAGCTCACAGTGGCTTTGTTAACACTTAAACAAAACCACTAAATTTAAGCTGGCTGGCCAAGGCATGGAGCATCACATTTCCAGGAGTATGGACGCAGGATGTATTTATGGTTTCATTGAGGGGGGGAAAAAAAAAAGGCCCCCCCCAAGATGCATTTCTAAGCTGCATCCCAAGTTCAGATACTGGAAGGATGTCCTAAAACTCCTAACTTACTACAAGCTGCAAACCTTTAACATTACAGCAGATGTTAGTTATCTTGAGAAGTTTCAGTCTGAAGCTGTCACATAGCCAAAATAGCTTAACAAGTGAGTTGTGCATGTCCTTGACCAAGAGAAGGAGGAGAACTATAGGAGAACTATAAAATAGTTTTGCACTAGAATGGCAAGAGATTGCCTTCAGCACAGCCAACTGAGATACTCAAAAACACACAACAAGACAGCCAGCCATTTCGGATTACTACTTTTAGAGTGGGGTGGCATTATTGTTCCAACTTTGGCGCTGGGACTGTCTGAGCACCAGTTACTGTAGCTAACGTGATTTATGAGGAAAATAACACATCTATCTCCTGCTTCTCTTCTCTTACCTGCACTGCAACATAGGCAACACCAAGGTAGGCTGCAATACAGACAGCCAGAAGCAGGTCAAAGATCGCTGGCTTGACCCTGCAATAAAGAACACATGAAATTGCTACAGCAGGTACTGCCACAGAGTGAGACAACAGCCCAACATGCCCAAGAGAATTCCATACCTGTATGCATTCATCACCTGTTTCAGCTGGTCATAGAAAACAAACTCAGGGTCCCTGTGAAAAGCAGAAATTCTTCAGGTTATATTACACTTCTTGACATTGCAGTAAGGACAGCCCAGACCTCTGTTCCCAAGGAGTTCATCCAACCAGAGACAGGTAAGCATGACCACCTTACATACCAGTTTTGAACTGATCTAATTGTCAAGTCTTTCTCTTCCTACAATCAGAAGTCTAAGGATACAAATTCAGATGCTGTTCATCTGTATCAGAAGAGGCATGTGGAAGATGCCTCACTGGGTTCATTAAACCGCTTCAACCCAAGCAGGTTAGACAGGATGGAAGCTGCCTTTTTGCAATTAAAGAAAGCTTTCTAGGGGACCTTAGTCTTTTCCTGCACTCAGAGAGAATCAGCACTCAGAGTGGGAAGGGTGGAACCAAAACAGTGAAAAAACAAGCTCTTCAGACAGAGGGAGCTGCTGGGACTCGTTACTGTGCTGCGACGAACGATAAAGAGCTTTCTCCGGGAGAAGAGAGAGCATGAACCAAAACTGCCAGGAGAGCAGAAAAGAGCAATCACTTCCAGCTACATGCCAAGAAGCCAGGAAAGCTGCAGCTCAGAGACAAAATTCACTGGAGGGGAAAGTCAGTTTGCATGCCCTGGCTGGTTCTTTCATCTCTTTTCTTACCGTTTGTCTGCCTTTACATGATGCTGTTTGACATCCTTCAGGTAGCGACCCATATAATATTCTAAGGTGTTGAGGAAGGTGCTGTCTTTATCAATCAGCTGGGCAGCCCTGGGCTGACTGCTCAGCCAGTCCATCACTGATTCTAGTTGCTCCTGCTGGATCTGCTGCAGAAAAATACCACCAAAGAAAGGGAGTCAACCACACATAGGCTGAGACCAGACCTCTCTCCCAGACTCTTGATTCCTTCTTCCCACAGGTTACAAAAATGCACTGTGCTCACCATCTGATCTGTGAAAATCTGCAGATCTGCAGGTGCTCCCTGCAAGGGAAAAAAAAAACCCAGGCTATTGGTGAGAGCAAGCTTGGTTGGGCAGGACAAATCTGACTAGCACTGCACGATGGGCAGCTCTTACCTTGTCTGTTAGGTTGTAGATGACCCTTGTCAAAGCCTCAGCAATGATCCTAGTATTCCTGGTTAGTGCCTTAGTGTCTATTCGTGCCCTAAAACAAAAGATGGGATTATGGACTTGTCAATGGGATCAGCTTCCTCTAGAAACCACCCTTTTTCACTGCATCAAGCATGAGCCTGAATCCAGAACCCAACTCTCAGTGTTTTTTCACCCATCCTCTGGACCATCAGAACAGCACAAGCAGTCATGAGGCCAGTTTGTGTTTATGGGCTGGATTTCAACTGCAGCCTTCCCTAAGGCCTCTAACCTCCTATCCATGATGCTGTTGCGCAGGCTGTCCCGGTGGCTCTCCAGATGGGAGATGGTGAATGCTGGCAAGCGTCGGATTGCAAAACGCTCATGCTCCCATGCCAGCATGTCCTCAGCCAAGTTTATCTTCTTGTGCACCATGGAAAACTTCACCTCTGGGAACTGGCTGGCAACAACCTGAGGGAAAGGACAAGCCATCCAGGGTGTCACGCTGCCCACTGCATAGTCCCATCTTGCATTGCCCAGTCCACCTAGACCCAATTTTTTTGTGTTCCAGAAGGTAAATAATCTTCCACCTATAAGGTGCAGTTACTGCCATTAAAAAGCTGTTTTAATGTCAAAAAAGCTGTTTTAACGTCACTACAGGGTAGCTTTTGCAAGCAACAAGCCGTAAGGAAGTGCAGTGGAAAATGCAGCAGATCTAGTCTGCTTCATTTGGGACCGTGTCATGAGGATTTGTCTGCACTTCAAATGAAGTGACCATAAACAATACATGAAATATTTCAGTGGCACACCCTTTCTTCACGTCTTCCTTCCTTCCTCTCTTGGAGAGCTGCAGCTCCCCATAGTAAGTCCCAAGTTCCCATCTACCTAAAATGCTTTTCATTACCATTTCCAGTTCTCTCAGAAACGCATGCTGCAACGTCCCCTCCTTGGGAGGCTTTGAGACATGAAGATGAAGGCTATTGCCTCGGCCCAGAGTATCAAGGCAGAGAACAAATGCTACGTTGTCCTGCAGCAGGCTGGAATCTGGAACAGAAAAATCCAAGCCTTTATTGCTATGCTTTGTGCTGGGATTTCCATCCCAGAAAAGCAAGGCCCACACAAGGAGATTCTCACAGGAGGGCTGACATACTAGACACTTAACATAATCATATTAACAGAGGCCTTGCCACAGAACATGCTGGAATGCCAGCCCCCTACTCACCAGTGTGGTCCAAATTGTCTTCCAGCCACCGCTTCGTTCCTTGATAATTAAACTTGCCACCTCCAGATGCAAAGAACAGCAAGTTATACCTGCCCACCAAAGAAGACAGAAAAGTGTTAGCACACTGCACTCCATGGCTACAGAACTCCTTTACTCAGCCTTGGAGATGTGGTGAAATCACAACAGCTAGCACCTGACATTCAAGGCAAACTGCCCATTAACAAATGCTTCCTACATACCACATACTAAGGTAATGGCAGGACAGGGGTAAAGAGGGCGAGTTCCCAGTGCTTGAGGATGGAATCTACTTCCCACATCATTCCCTCCACTTGTCCCCAGGCTTGAGCAGAGCTACAGCAAAGAAACTAAAGGAAGGAGCTTGGCCATTAACAGCAGCTGTACTCAGAGGGAAGCAAAACAGAGCAAAGGAAGTAAAAGACTGCTTGTAACACTCTACAGGTCTGGAGCAAAAGCCCTTCTTACCTGATCTCAGCTACACACATTCAACCAAGAATAGGGCAGTTTCTTACCCAGCATGGGTACGTCTGTAGGTGTAGAGCCGAGAAAACAGCCTGGCTAGTTCCAGTAGCACTGAGATACCACTGCCATTGGAGTCAGCACCGTGTGACAGCCACTGCAGGATGAAGTGGGACAGAGACAAGGTGACAACCCTACACTTATTCTCACGTACCAGAACAGCCTTCAAGATAGCACACCACTATGCTCCACTTATAACTGCCCCATGTCTTTAAGGCCAAGAAAAAACATAGGGGCAGAGGCCACATGGGAGAAAAGACAGGAACACACAGACAGGAACAGAGAGCTGCAGGAAGAAAGAATACTCACTGGAGCCACTCCAAAAGAATCATAGTGGGCAACTATCACAACAGTGGGCAGGTCTTCTCCACCCAGCCCCGTAAGCCTTCCCTGCAGAGGAAAGAGATCAGTGTCACTCAGCATCACCCTTTGTGCACCTGTACAAAGACAGCCTGAATTCTACACGCCTGTTGACTCTGCAGTGGCCTCAGTTCTGAGGACTTCAGATACTTACCTGGCTGAGACTCCCCTGACTTCCCCTATCAGTCCAAATGTCTGATGAAGTCCCAATAAAAGACGGCATCCCATCAATGTTGCCAGTTTGAATCCATATACAACTCACCTCCACACTGGGTATGAGCCAGTCATTGATAGCTTTGCTTTGAGCCCCGCTGGTCACCATCTGGAAGCCATTGGCAGTTGCCGTGTGCGGGGGGGGTGGAACAAAAAAAAAAAGTGTACACCTGGGGAAGTTGCATCCCTTTTTTTCTGTTGCTAACTGAGCTCTGGAGAGACCAGCTTTAAACCATTTAAGCCCTCTCACTTGTCGTTTGTGTTTATGCATTGACACGGAATCCTGGTGACCATGCATTTTCATTCTGTCCTGAAATCCCAATATTTTGAGCTGGCTAAAACAAAAACTTTTCTCCAGCAGTCCTAAAGATAATCATGAGCAGCAGGTCAGTAAGATAGTAAAGTTATTTACAGGGGAATACATGGAAGTATTGAACTGACTTGTGGTCAGACAAAAAGCTTCAGCTTCTACCAACACACTGTAGTCATTTAACATCTTCAATGTTGTTTTTAACTTGAGTTTTGCTTTCTATTTTACTTGCAACAGTGTGAAGCTGAGAACTCACTCCATGCAACTGTATTTCCAAATATAGTCAAGTAATACTCTCTCTTATACTGTGTTTTTCTTCCATTAAATCTCAAAGCACTTTAACAAAGACAGAATAAACACGAAGGCAACAGAACACTGGTTCATGGTGCGTATGACACAGCAGACTGCTCCCAGAGGTGGGATCAGGACTGTCTTCCTCTAAACCTTTCCCCCACTTGTCAGAACTCACCTTCTGCAGCTGACGCAGAACCCTGTGATGCAGAAGCAGCCCGCGTTTGTTCATAGATAGACAGCAGCTCTTCATCTTCCACTGCAAAGTAGACTGGCACAATGGTTTCCATAGCAAGCATTTCTGGCTCTATCTCCATGAATTGCTGAGGATTTAAGCGGGACACAAACTTAGCATCTGCTAAACATGCAAGAGGGCAGAAAGAAATTAATAGCCAAAGCAGAGAGAGAAAGGTAAGTTTTAAAATTAGAGTATGATTTGTTGTGCACCACAACAGGAGCTTTCAGTCCTATAGCAACCCAAGCCTCTCTCCCTCTCAAATACATCTCCCATTGGAAGAGAAAGGGAACGTTTTTTTTTTACCCTTACAACATCCTGTGGGACAGAAGAGATAGATCGTGGCAAGATGATCACCACAGCACCAGCTGACTGGCGGAGAGCCTTCTGGTACTGCTCATAGGAGAAATCCACCAGCCGCATCATGACGCAGCGGCGGCTCAGGACGTCCGCTTCTACAGTGCGGGCTTCTGTGTTAAGCACTGCGCTCCTGGTGCCTGTGAGGAGAGAACAGCAAGAGGTTTTGTAAGTGATTTCATCACATCCCCTTTGCTTGAGCCTAGCTCCTTCTCAGAACAGCCTTGGTGACAGTCTGATGAACTTCAGAGCAGCCAGGACCTGCAGAAAGCTCTTCCCCCTTGTCCGAGAAGGAACAGAGATCTGTGGTTTTTCCTTGCATCCATCAGAGCAACATCTGTGCAGCCATGTCCTGCCAGACTCCCCTTACTCCACCACTACACAGCCTCGACCACCTTCCAGTCTTCCTCCCCACCACAACCACGCAGGCTACCTGTTTGCTCGCCTGCACCTAATACCTGCAGACAGCAATACATGTGGAGAAAGCCTGGCCTCTTGCTATGCAGCCTACTGCATCCTCCAGCTGTAGGATCACATCTGCAAGCAGAGGATACAAGCTGTGTGGAACCACTTTGTGAAAGGATGCAAGGCTACCCCATGTCCACCCAAAGGGCTGTTCTAGCTCACCCACTGGGATGTTTCTGTGGCTGAGAAAATTACAAATGAGCAGGCTGCTTCTAACTGCTCGCTCTCTCCTACTCTCAGTTTCAGCATACCAAATCCCCCACATGAAAATGCAATCCTTTGGGAGAACAGCAGTCTGGAGGCTTGCCAGCAGCTCCAGCATTTTCCAAGAGAGGACCACAAGTACATCTTGTATAAATAGAGACGTTCAAATCCACCTTACAATTTGTAATGCTCCAAATCCAGTTTCTTCTTCTATAACTCTGGCACCTACATCGAAGACTTCATCACACTAGGTCCCCAAGCAGCCAGGGAGGTGCTCCAGAAGGCACCTCAGCCTATGCCAAATAGGAGTGTTGCTAAATGTTAGATTTAAACGTGGCTTAATTTAACTCTAACATTAGTTTGGTCCCATCAAAGGTCAAATCACCTAAACAAGAAAAACCTGTACTTCTACTGCATAGTATCAGCGAGGGCCATACACCCAGAAACAGAGTTAAGGCATGATCTAAATTCTCCACATAAAGCTCCTACAGTGTATAACAAACAGATGTTAACAGCAGCCCCCATCCCCCCCATCAGAGAAAAACAATCCATAATGAGGATAACTCCTCCACCATTCCCAAAACAATGATGTGCAAACATAGCATAGTGTGGATCCAGACTTCTGCTCCCAGCACAACCCTCTGACATCTAAGCAGAGCAGACCCAACAGTATTTTCTGACAGCATGGCAAGACAAGTTGATTTTCTGTAGTTTCTCTACAGAGAACTGTTTAATAATGGTTTATTTACTATCTAAAGAACTCTATTCTAACAGTATTAGAGGAAGTCCAAATTTGTTCTTCAATTGCTCTGTGACTGATGTTGACAAAAAACCTCTTCTCCCCCCTGCAAGAAAAGGCTCAGCAGCAATCTCCATTTAGTCTTTTTGGAAAACAATATGAGAATCTGGAACAACAAATAGCTTTTATCCTGAAGGACATCTGGCCTCAGAACACACATGGAACAGGAACATCAGCTACCCAAAGGGGCTGGCAAGGAACAAAGGAAATACAGCTAAAAGGAGCTGTATTTTCTGGAGCTAAAAGGCTCCAGAAAAAGAAACAGCATAAAAAGTTTATTGCAAGCATCTTAAAAAACAATGTGTGGCTTTTCGAGAGTTCACAAAATATTCCAAAATATGTTGTGCGCAGTTGGCTAGAGAGAACACTCAGGCAAACAAAGTCAAAGCCAGCTGAAACACGTGCCTGCTGCCCCCATTAAGCCTGTCAACAAAGATTTACCACCACATGAGAAAAGAGATAGCTTAACACTCCCATGAGAGAGCCTACCTCAGATCTAGTGAGGTTCTCAACAACAGAGGTCTCAAGATGTGGACACATTTTGAGAAACTGTGATGGACGAACCCAGAAGTAATTTCAGATATTCAGAAGCCACCAGTAGCATCTGTAGTGTTTACAAAGCGTGCAGGCATAGCTGTCATTTCATAACTTCTACTGATGTTTGATCTTATGAAGATCTCAAAGATGTAGAGACTGAGTCTCATGGACAGTACAGAATAAATGTGGGGCTGTAATGCCAGACTGTTAACAGAAGTCTGAAACTTAGGCCACAAAACAGACAGCAGGAAGAGTCACTCACAGACAGAATACATGCCCTGATCTGGAATAAAATATCTATGGAAGACTCAGAAACAGCACTTGATTCTGGGCTAGTGAGTACAGGGCAGTGGAGACTAAGGGCTACAACAGTTCAATGATTCACAGAACAGGTTGTGTTTCTGACTCAAAGAAAGGTGTTGCACAATCGGCAGCCTGGAAGCAACAGAACAGAGGAACTGGAGGTCAATCGTAATGTAAAGGAAGAACTGTAAAAGAAAGGACTCTCAAATGAGGAGACGCTGGAGCAATAGACACTGCTAATTGAGACTGAAGAGGAGGCTGAACAGCGAAGAAGAATCAACCTGTCAATAGAGGAGTCAAATGCAAGAGAACAAAACTGAGCTCACAATCAAGTTCCCCAGTATGCAAGAGGGCTGCAGCTAGACTACTTGAAACACCAGCTAGACTACTTGAAACACAGGTTGTTCAGCCCACAGACAGGAGCCTGCAAGGACACAGCAAGGTCCTTGGCCACCTCTAGGTCATCATGTGGGAGCTCTCGGCACCTTCCTGCTTGTGCTGAGACTGGGCAGTAAAACTCAGCCAGATGGGGCCCGCCTACAGCCTCCCCTGGGTCTGGGCCCGGCTGCAGCCTTCCAGGGCTCTCCGAGCTCTCCTGCAGCCTCCCCTGGGCTGGGTCGCCCTCCCCGGGCCGCCTGCAGCTTCGCGGCCTACCCTGGGCTCCTCCCCGAGATCGGGGCTCTTCCCAGGGCCCCATCGACCCCGAAGGGGGTCGCTGCCGGGATTCGCCCTCCCGGAGGACCGAGGCCTGGCACAGGCCGGTGGCCGAACCGCGCCCGGCCGGGCTGTGCAGTCTCTCACC